GAGGTTATGTTTCAGGACCACCCGCGATAAGTGAAAATCCGCAAAGTAGGGACGCTTACAGTATATGTACTTACTTATTTACTTAGGCGATCCCTCGTTGGACGAGTAAGATGGTCTTCCTTGATGACTATTTTGTGGGTTTGTAGGTGGCTGTGGAGCCCTATTCTTGACCCGCATCTTCTCCCACAGTGAAGGCATTGGTTTCCAGGTGGAAGGCGGTCCCGGTCGGGGTTGGCTTGACGCGCCTTCCTCCTGGCATGTTACTCTCTTTCACCCTCCACTCATGCCTTCTCGAATTCTGCAGCACTGCTGGTCACAGCTGACCTCCAGCTGGAGCGGTCAAGGGCCAGGGCTTCCCAGTTCTCAGTGTCTATGCCACAGTTTTTAAGGTTGGCTTTTTTCGGCGGCAACGCTGATGGGCTCTCGGTGTCTATGCCAGAGGTTTTAAGGTTGGCTTTGAGCCCATCTTTAAATCTCTTTTCCTGTCCACCAACATTCCATTTTCCGTTTTGAGTTCAGAGTAGAGCAGCTGCTTTGGGAGACGGTGGTTGGGCATCCGTCCAGCGGAGTTGATGGCGGAGGACCATCGCTTCAATGCTGGTGGTCTTTGCTTCTTCCAGCACGCTGACGTTTGTCCGCTTGTCTTCCCAAGAGATTTGCAGGATTTTCCGGAGGCAGCGTTGATGGAATCGTTCCAGGAGTTGCATGTGACGTCTGTAGACAGTCCACGTCTCACAGGCATATAGCAGGGTTGGGAGGACAATAGCTTTATAGACAAGCACCTTGGTATCCCTACGGATGTACATTATACATAGGTATACCTATGTCCCCCCTCTGCCCTCCCTCTTGAAGATGCCCCCCCTCTCAATCAATCTCTCTATCTGGGTGCTACTGGGCGCTGCTTTCCCTCCACCTCGAGCTCGCGCCCAGCCTGGGCTCCATGGCGCATGTGCGGTGGTGAGACCCGTCAACCTTGTTGCAATGGTGTAGTAACTGTGAGGCGGTGGACCATATTTTAGTTCTTGAGGATCACTGGTGGTCCATGGACCACAGCTTGGGAACCACTGGTTTAACCCACTGCACCACCGGATGTGGTTGGAGTGTGGAGGAATTGGTGTGTTGTTTGTGGTGTGTGCTGATGTGTGCTTTAATTTCATTATACAATAGCACAAGGACAATAAATCTATTCTATTCTAAAAACCCTATTCCACAGTCAAACTGCCCTCCCCATCAAGGAGCTCTTCCTAATCTTCAGTTGGAACCTCTCTTCCTACAGTTTGAATCCATTGCTCCATTGTGTTCTAGTCTCTGGAGCAGGAGAGAACAAGCTTTCCCCCTTCAAACTTCACATTCCGTCTGAAGTCTGCCGCAAAGAGAGAACGTCAAGAAAGAAAGCTCAGACAGAAAGGAAAAGGGAGGGGGAAGAATCCACCTTGATAATTTATTAAATTAAAACATCACACAGGTAGAGAGTTAAAAGATTCAGTCGAGTCTCAGGTAGGATTTACCAAGAGGGATCCAACGAAGAGGCGGAGGAGGTGTGTGATTGTTTTACAGATCCATTGTTCACAAAGTGCATGTTGGAGACAGGAGACGAGAGCAACAGCAAGGCGAGGCACCAACCGGCCCAGAGGAAGAACCAGAATCCAAGGCCCAAAAAGAAATTTGGTACGAGGAACAGGATTCATGGCCACTCCGGACCCATCCAGAAATAGTCATGGCGTCACTCCCCCTTTTGTCCCAAATTTAAGCAGACAGCGGCAGCCGACCTCTGTGGCTACTTTAAGATTTGATTCTCTACTGTCTCCGTAGGCAATGATTTCTAGGTATCTACCACTGTTGATCTCGATCAATTTGTTATCTCTTTCCCTGGCTCTTGCTCCAAGGATTTACATTTATTTCAGTTTCAACTATGTGATAACACTACCCACTTACCACTCGTGTTGCCCAAACGATGCCGTTTACACAACTCTATCAGTAATAACAGCAAAGCGGGCTAAATGAGAATTGCATGTTGGTTTTTAGAAAGACATGTGTGCCAAAGGGCCATTGTGAGTTTCAAAAACCGGGGTGCCTGTCCACGAAATACGCACACATAAAACAGTTTCGAAAGAAAATACTGAATCCGTAATCCACAGAATCTCCCAATTATGTCAGATAATGACAAAATATTATCCAGCCACGATGGATCCTTTGGTCCTTTCCCATAATTGCCAAACAATGTACAGAATTCATGGTCAACGCTGCGAACATGTGTCTGGATACATTCTTCATTTCACTCACATTAATCAACACATATAATTACCAAAAGGACAACTGGTTTACTCCATAACATTGTCAACTTCTCAAAATTGATGCTGGAATGCTTGCAATCAACCCACTGCTATCATGTTTATTACCTTTATTACAAAAAAAGTGCCTCAGCGACAGGGCCTTCCTATGGATGAATTTGAACCCTCATGGGTACAGTTTACACCTCTGACAACACTTCTTTCCAAAGACATTGATGGCCAAGGTGCAACTTGACATGAAAAGCAACAGTGTGAATCCAACCTGTTCATCAACAGCATTATTATTATCATCATCATCATTATAAAGTCCTACATTTAATATTAAAAGAGGTTAAATATTGGCACCGATGAAGAACTGGAGGTGGAAAATCACCCCAGCCTAGCGCTCTGGAATGTCAATCCAAAGGCACCTTTCTTAAAGTTAGAAACTGTGTCTTGAAAAGGCAAGCGGAATGACAACCAGACGAAGAGCAGAAATCAAAGGCAAACTATATAATAGTCCCCTGCAGTGAAACTACCTAAAATGTGGAATTTAGATCTTACTTGTTCTGTAATTCCGATGTCTAAATGGGAGAAACATGGAATAAACCATCCTCTTAACCAGCTCAGGGCAATACAATGCCGGGGAATGAAAAAAAGAGACATTGGTGATGGAAAAACATCAGAAACAAGGATAGAGAGGGGACCGAAATGGACAAAATTCAAGGGCTCAGCAGATCAAATAAGATGGAACCAGAGGCAAGGGATAGCTTCCATTTTGGGAAGATTTCAGTCTGAACTTTAAGGAGTGCTGAACCTTTTGGGGTGGTGACAGGGTTTGAACTGAGTTATCTGAACCCCGACACGGTTTGTCACCTTCTGTAGCTTCAGAAACCAAACTAAAATCACCATGAACTTGTCACCCCAATGATATGGGAGCTATCAACCGCCCCTGTATGGAACAGATCCAAAGCCTATGCTTCTAAGAGTTCATCGTTTCCTACTATGATTCCATAATATACAAGGGGGACATTGTTTTATTTTGGCAATCCAAACTCACTTCTGACTTCCGGTAGGTTGTACAGAAAATAAAGCACAAAGGCAAGAGCTGGGAAAATAACTTCCTCTTCCCAGAAGCTCTGAAGAAGGCTCCTTAAGTATAAAGGTGGGCGATTATGCAGGGACTAGGATATAATTCCTATCTCAACCCTATGGGACATAGAACCCTCTAAATGGTGTGGAACATTTTTCCTCATTTTCTGGTTGTATTGTGGCCAAAAGGGTGACTTCATGTTACTTCTGGCCACCATTTTAACTGAGATAGATAGTTGAGAAAGTAATTACCTAGAACCGTGGTTCTCAACCTTTAGGTCCTCCAGTTGTTTTGGACTTCAAAAATTCCAGTCAGTTTACCATCTGTTATGAATTGTGGGACCTGAAGTCCAAAACAACTGGAGGACCAAAGGTTGGGAATCATTGATCTAGAGCAGTGGTTCTCAACCTGGGGTCTCCAGATGTTTTTGGCCTTCAACTCCCAGAAATCCTAACAGCTGGTAAACTGGCTGGGATTTCTGGGAGTTGTAGGCAAAAAACATCTGGGGACCCCAGGTTGAGAACCACTGATCTAGAGGATTTGGCTGGAATTTGTGTGTTGAAAGTTGTTTGGGAAAGGGATGTAGCACTGGGCCAAAAATCACCCCCAATGGCACCACAAATTAAAATGGAGCGTTGAGGAGGCTTTGGAGGGGAAGGGGGCTGAGAATGTGAGGTTACATGGAGTCTATGAGTTGGATTTCCTCCGAGTGACAAGTTCTTACTCCACTCCTGGTGTAAACCAAAGAAGGATGGACCCACCATGTCCTCGCTAAAATAACTATCAACCCCATCCATCCGATGTGCTCCTTTTTGGGTGGATGGGTGCCCAAACAGACTGGGAGGCTAAAACCATAGGTGAGTGCTGGTCTTCTGTTCCTAGAAGCCCACCCAGAAGGGGGATGAATCCTCCTGCGTTTGTGCAAAAGGAGGGGAAATTTAGGGTTGTGTTTCTCCAAATTCAAGGCTCTGATCCCAAGAGAGGGAGGCCACATTATGCCACAATCTGAATGTTGAACCTGTGACTTGCAGGATCATTTTTTAAAAGCCAATACCACATTTCTCTAAATAACCAAGCATGCAGTGGAAGGAGGGGGGCGCGGGGAGAGCTTCTTTTAAAACCGATCCAGCATGAATCATTTTAAGGCAGAAGGAGGGACATGCATTTCAAGCAGGGAAGCGGGGGGGGGGGGGGGATAATTACTGATTGGTCTTTATTTACAACACTAAAGAGTGTGGAGAGTGTCCCACTAAGGCTCAGGCACAGAAAACACTCAAAGAAATGACCTCATCTGATACTTCCAGAGAATGGAAGAGGAGGGAAAACCCATCCGCCCAGATTGTGAAGATGCCTGATGTTGTCACACCACCAAAGTGCCATCTTGGTCCATGTTCTGTTCCTACACCACCTTCTTTTTCCTTTTAAGAGGCACCTTTTGTCAGAGATTCATTAAGTGGAAAACTATCTATTAGTGTTAAGAGGAGTGGCAAGCTTTCTGCCTAAAAAACCCACCCAAATGCTACAAACACAGAACTTGATGGAACGCGTCGGAAATGCATTAGCTGTACATCTACATGGCACGCTCAGTTTTAACAGGCCACTCTTTTTTAGAAAAGGAAAATTATAGAGATGGAAGGTCCTTTTGTGTGTGAGTGCATTAGTGAGAGATGAAGCTTTGGAAAACTGGTTTGTACAGCTAAAAAAACGCCCCCCTCCCAAAGAGTCATGTAATATTAATCCTTTTTTCACAAAGGAATTGATATTTTTTTTTCTTCTCTACATTTTCTTTTTACAGTGCGGAAATGAGCCCAAAATGTTCAAGGAACATTTGGCTCGACTTGCCCAAAAAGAGGCTTGGGTAACATGATTTGGAAGTTGGGAGAGGGAAGCTACCGTGTTAGTTTTCTAAAGGGGAGAGCGGAGACAATCATTCGTCAATCAAATAATTTAAAATCAATATTTTGACATGTAAACACGCCCACGTTAGAAAGGAGAGTCCACAGATCTAGAGAGAGAGAGCGGCAAGCGTCAGGCCCATCAAATGAAAAAGATTTCCTCCAGAATCCGGCTTTCTTCTAGCTCTGCCGTCCTATGCTTGGCGCTGGAGGGGCTCCGGTTCCAACCTGGTCTCCTCCGGGCCCCATTTTCCGCCATGAAGCCCTTGCTGTGGCTGCGGCTCTCGCTGTACGGAAGCCCCGGGCTCATTGCATCCACCAGGTCCAGCAAAGAAGTCTCATACCTGGGAGAAAAGAGAGGAACAATTCCATCAAACACCCCGTAGTGCAGACATGGGCCAACTTTGGCCCTCCAGGTGTTTTTAGGACTTCAATTCCTAACAGCCAGTAGTTTGCCCTTGCCTCCTGTCGATGCACCCTAGATCCACATAGGAAAATAATTTCTACTACAATAAGCAAACTGAAAACCATTCCACCTGTGCAAAATTGTTCCTTACGCTTGAATGGAAGTGAAACATTAAATCAAAGACTTAATTGCATAACTTTCTTTGCCATTCAGGTTAGAACTGACACAGGGCTGGGAAAATAAGCTCACTTCTACCCATCGATGGTTAGCAGGGGAAAAAATGGATAAACAGACAAAGTTTGAAATACAAGATCAACATGCACAGTTGATAATTTCACTAAATGGTGCTTTCGGTTATCAATTATATCTATAATTCTTTGGATTCTTGCTTGCTGGCAGTATATGAAATGATGTTCCAAACATGATGTTGGCTTATGGAATGAGTTTGTTTTGATGCCACATTCCATGGGATCAATGTCATTGTTTTTGGTAAAAGAACATACAAAAGGCGTGAGGAAAAACACTGAAAGGTTATTCAAAAAGCAATTAGGTGAGTCCTAGAATAAAAGGCATTTAAAGCAAACGCATAAAGTCTTTAAGATGGAAACAGCACACCATTAAAAGCTCTGTTGCCTCTCTGGGAAGGGAGTTTGGGAGCAACCAAGAAGAAGGCCTTTTCCTTTGTTCTTATGAAGCAAGATTCTGTGGATGGAAGGATGGAGAGAAAAGTTCTGTCCAAAGATCACAGGTGTCCAGTAAGCGAATATAGGAAGATATGGTTTACCAGCCTAGACTTATGTGGTATAGGACACTATAGGTCATAGTCATAACTTTGAATGGGGCTCACAAGCTGACCAGCATCTGCTGGAGCTCTTGTAACAAGAGAGCTGCAACAAGGGAGTTGTATGTTTCATGTAACTAACCACATTAACAATCCAAATGCAGTTGAACAAACTGGCTGCAGCTTTGGAGTAGAATCATAGAATCATAGAATCAAAGAGTTGGAAGAGACCTCATGGGCCATCCAGTCCAACCTCCTGCCAAGAAGCAGGAATATTGCATTTAAATCACCCCTGACAGATGGCCATACAGCCTCTGTTTAAAAGCTTCCAAAGAAGGAGCTTCCACCACACCCCGGGACAGAGAGTTCCACTGCTGAACGGCTCTCACTGTCAGGAAGTTCTTCCTCATGTTCAGATGGAATCTCAGATGGAGTAGATGAAGCTTCTGAACGTTCTTCAAGGACACTCTTCAAGAGCATGCTCAAACCCAAGGATCAAAACCATATTTAACCAAAACATATGTCACCATGGCTGGTTTTAGGAGAACTCAGAAGATGCAAAATAGGGTTCCCACATGTTGGTATTGCTGCCCCCCTTTCATGACCCCAATCCAAAGCAGAACTCCCACATACACACACCTCACCTGTTTTGCCCCACTTTTCATTGAATAATCTACTCACAGCATGCATGACAGATCAGCTCTTTCCTCCTTCTCTTTTCCATCCTGAGCTCGTCAGGAAGGAACACACATCTATCTCACAGCCAGTCACCCCAGGCATACTCCACTCTACAAAATGCTCGATATTCAAAATACATTTTTTCCTAGGGGAAAAAAATGCTTGAACAATGCTTTCATGGGTGACAGTAACAATAGAAGGCCTCCAAATGACTTCAAACGGACCACAGGTTGACTTTGGGATCCCTGTCATCCACAGGTACAGCCATGTGTGGTTTGAGATATAGGTTTCTCATACAATTCCAGCATCTTCTCCATGGGAGATGCATGGCTCATATTTCGCCATGACAGTACACTTTCCCTTGGGTTGGGTAGTGTTGATAGAAACAATCCACCACATTTTCAGATGGTTTTTGTCAGCTTTGGAACAGTTATCAGGCAACCCCCCTCTCGCTAATAATGGGGATCGGGAAGCATCTGAGGATCTTTAGGGGCTGTATGTAGGTTTCCCAAAGACCCCATGTGGTACGTGGTCACACTTTGTCTACCTCAATATAAGAAAGTTGAAGGGACATTTTTTCCATGAAAGCTAATCACGATGGATGTTCACTGTGTCCAATAATTTTACTTGGGTCACACATTGTAAGATATTTCGTTTCATCATTCCTGGTGGTAATGACCATCCCATTTTTAGACTGATATATTATACAGTCAAAACTCTGAGAATGTAGCAGAGGCAGCGTCAACTTGTTCCACAATTTTCTGAAGCACAAGCCTGTTTCTTTGGATGCCGTCTTTCCCATTAAAAGGGGGAGAAAAGTCGAGAGCGGGCCAAGGAAACAAGCCGTTCCCAGTGTTTCGGCCGGAAAGCATCTCAGAGTTAATTTCTGCTGTAAGTTTATCTAGCTTTTACAGCCTTTCCGCTATCGGGGAAAATTAAATGATTTGCTAGATTACAAGAGCAGCAAATATAGCAAAGATTATTTAAAAGACCAAGGCATTGGAAATCAGTCTGTTTGACACCGGGGCTCTATATGCAAGAAAGCCAACTCCCGGTGCTCAAACAGCCTTATCTGATGGGGAGAGCGCTCCTCTCGGCTATTTAGTGGTTAATCCCCTGCTAATACAGTTTGTCCTGCCTTGTCGCGGTGCCATCAGACAGCATTTGGCTGCAGGCAAAAGAGCTGAGCTACCAAGGGCTGGAACCTTCAACGCCAATTTCCTCCACATTTATTCCTCCGAAAACATTTAAAGGGAAACTGTCAACAAAATGGATCTTCCCTGAAATGAAATAGAGGAAGAGGTGCAGACGTGCTGGTTCAAGCCCCGAAGTCTCCGGGATAAGACTTGAGACTTAGGGATGGTCCCCCGTGATATTATGCATTAGACACCACCCACAGTTGCTCAAAGCTTGCCATTTAAACACACACCAGGTTGGAAAGGGGTGAAATGAGATCATTTCTTGCCTACAAAGCCCTAAATGGTTTGGGACCCGCCTACCTTAGTGACAACATATCTGTATACGAACCCACACGATCTCTTCGATCATCTGGAGAGGCCCTGCTCACGCTTCCACCTCCATCGCAGGCGCGATTGGTGGGGATGAGAAAGAGGGCCTTCTCGGTGGTGGCCCCTCAACTCTGGAAATCACTCCCCAAGGACGTCAGGCATGCCCCAACTCTGGCAGTCTTTAGGAGGAGCCTGAAAACATGGTTGTTCCAGTGTGCTTTCCCAGAATAAGGAAACTCCCAGCAATATGTCCCTAAATGCATTTTATCAATGATCTAGGATTGTCTGCACACCCTTTCCTCTCCGAAATTCTATCCTAGTTATATATTTCACCTGGTCATGCTCAGCATTATTATTTTTTTAATTTTAATTATTACATTTGGCCCAGCCATAGGTTTTTAAGCGTTGTCATACTATTGTCAATGTTTACTGCTTATTTTTTTGTTTATGAGTTTCATTTTATGGTTTTGTATTGCTGCTGTTGTTGTTTTGCTGATGTATTGTGGGCTCGGCCTCATGTAAGCCGCACCGAGTCCCTTGGAGAGATGGTAGCAGGGTACAAATAAAGTTATTATTATTATTATTATTATTATTATTATTATTATTATTATTATTCCTCTTCATTTACTTACCTAGGAAGTTTGGACTAAGTGAATCGGGCACATTTCTGACCTCCCAGGCTGCCCCCCCCCCCACACACACCTTTTGTGGGTCTAGGGGAGGCCTTTATTATCCAACAGAACACCACCCAGAATGAACTTCTCAGTCACTTGTTTTTATTCAGAGCCCTTTCTTGGTCTAAAATGGTCCCAGAAATGAGGTCAGCATGCACCCAACACCACCACTGGATCCTTGGGAGACATTTGGGGGCATTTTTTTTCAATTGGATTTGTAAACTGGTGGTTTCGGCATTGGACTGTGACCCTAGAGACTAGGGTTTGAATTCCCACCTGGCCATGAATCTAAATGGGTGTCTTTGAGCAAGTTAAACAATTTCAGCTCTGGAGGAAGGGAATGGCCAATTTCTTCTGAACAGATCTTGCCAATAAAACCCTGCAATAGGTTCTTCTTGGAGTTGTTATGAGTTGGACATGGCTCCAAGGCACACAACAGTAACAACAAAGAGTGGGTTTGCCCCTCCAGGATCCTCTTGTGAGCCAACATTGACCACCACTGACATAGCTCCCTTCGATGCTCTGAAAAATATCAGAGAAATAGGTACAGGATGATGATGGTTGGAGCTAGTTCAGAGAAGGGCAACAAGGATGAGAGAGTTGGCGAGCAACACATATGAGAAAAGGAAAGAGAAGCCTAAGGTTGTCTCAAGGGCTCTCATGGAGAGAAGGGGGCAAGTTTGGTCTCTGTTGCCCCTCTGTTGTTGTTGTTTATTCGTTCACTCATTTCCAACTCTTCGTGACCTCCTGGACCAGCCCATGCCAGAGCTCCCTGTCGGCCGTCACCACACCCAACTACTTCAGAGTCACGCCAATCACTTCATGGATACCATCCATCCATCTTGCCCTTGGTCGGCCCCTCTTCCTTTTTCCTTCCATTTTCCCCAGCATCACTGTCTTCTCTAAGCTTTCCTGTCTTCACATTATGTGGCCAAAGTACTTCAGCTTTGTCTCTACTATCCTTCCCTCCAGTGAACAGTCAGGCTTTATTTCCTGAAGTATGGACTGGTTGGATCTTCTCGCAGTTCAAGGAACTTTCAGAATTTTCCTCCAACACCACAGTTCAAAAGCCTGTTGGACTTGACCCTGTTGCCCCAAAGGGCAGAGTCAAGTCTAAAGATTTTAAGATAAAGAAGGGTAGATTTTATTTGAACATTATTATGAACTTCTTGATGGGAAGAGCGGTTCAACAATGGAACCATTTGCCTAGAGAGGTGGCTGGCTAACTGCCTGCTGGGGATGCACTAACTGGAGATCCTGCATTGAGCATTGGAGGCTGGACTCAACAGTCTATCTG